ATCGGAGCAGCGGGCATCGGGGCAGCATGCATCGGAGCAGCGGACGTCGCGCAACGCAATTTGGGTTGGCGGGCGGCGCGGTGACGTGGGCGGGCAAGTGGGAGCATGTCAGTGGCAGCCGGCAAGGTGGGAGGCAGCAGAGGAGGCAGCGGCGGGCTAGCCGGCGTGGCGAATACCGACAGAGGGGCAGGCAGCGTCGTCGGTCGTGGCGGGCGCAGCGGAAAGGGCAGCGGCAGCATCAGCGGTGGCGACGGCGTAGTGGGAGGCGGCGGCGTGTAGGCCAGAGACGTGAGACGGGGCGCGCAGGCAGCGGCAGACAGCGGGTCCGGGGCTGGATCGGAGGCAGCCGTGCGGGCAGCGGCAGGCACGGGAGCACGCGGCGGTCCCCATCGGGTCTTGGGAAAGGTCGCAATGATGCGGCGGGCTTCGGCAACTCGAGGGTCGTTCGGCAGTAGGGGCGGAACGGGCACGCGTGCGGGCTCTTGAACGGGCGTAGGCGCATGGACTGGCGCAGGCACGGGGACGGACGCAGGGGCGTGGACGGGAGCAGGCTCATGAGCGGACGCAGGCGCTTGGACGGACGTAGGGGCTTGGGCGGACGGTGGCGCTTGGACGGACGCAGGCGCTGGGATAGGCGCGTGGGGCGGCAGCACGGTGGACGCGTGGCGGGCAGCAGCAAGGAACGCGTCAATGTCGGCCTGATTGAGCTCGGGTTGGGCGGGCAGGGGCGCACGGGATGTGGCGTCCGCGGCAGGCGGCCCAGCAGCCGCGAGGCGGCCCGACGGCAGATCGACCACGGTGGATTCGGTAAACACAAACGCACCCGGGCCGTGAGGGCCGGCAGGGACCCAAGTAACCGTGCGCTGGACATGGACGGAGGCAGCGAGAGGTGACGGTGGAGCGAGAACAGAGGGAGAAGCATCGGGCAAGAGTGCCAGAGGCACAGACACGGCGTGCGGAGCTCGAGAGGCAAGCGGCAGCAAGACGGGCGACGTACTGTGGGTTGCCTGCAGCGGGACGGGCACGGCGCATGGGACGAGGGCCAGCGGCCCGATTGGGAGAGCCGGCGAGTGGGACAAAGCAGGGCGACCAGGCAGTGCAAGACGGAGGCGCTTCGCGTCGGCAGCAGATGCGGTCAGGGCCGCAGCAAACGGCTCGTCGCGCGGGCGCTTGACGTGGGCGGCCAGTGGCGACCCGCAGCGGCTGGGGCTAGGGTACACCACAAGTTCACGAGACGAGGATAAGGGAGCAGTGACGAGCGGAGCGGGATTACCAGCCCGCTCCGGCAGCGGCGCGGGATTACCAGCCCGCACCGACGAAACGGCGGCCCGCGTTGACAAGACAGCGCTCGGAGGCAGGGGTGCACCGCTCCCCTCGACTGGGTAGGCGGCGCCCCGTAGTATATCGACGTGTAGTGGCACGACACCCTGGGCAGCTGCGGTATGTTGCGACACCGCCACAGGGGCCACTAGAGTTCCAGCGACCAGAGCAATTCCCGGCGATGGGGCACACAAGAGAGGAGGGACAGAGGACGGGGGAGGCCGAGCATGCGCTAAGCCAGACGCTCCCGCAGAGCCAGGACTCTGACCAGCTGAGGCACCCGAAGGTGGCTCAACCGGATCCGCTGTGTCACCCTGGTGGCACCCGCGCTCACCAGTTGAAGATGACGTCATCCGAAGACAACTGTCGGTGAACTGACTGATCGTTACCCCTCGCTTCGCCAGCCAGCCAGCCAGACTTGATCTTAGCCAAAAGGCCGAGAAGGTATGATTTCCATGTGAAACCTAATTTCACTATCCCTACGAAAGCACAAAGGGCGACAACCGATGTGAGTCAGCGAGCGCTGTCGCAAGAGCACTAACGCCACTGTCGGTGACGTCGCAGTAGTCGAGAGCGATGCAGTCAAAAGGCTTTGCACAACGCTGTCAGCATCGTTGAGCTCGAGGCTCGTGAGCGATGCGGTGGCGGCGATGGCCCGCGCCAGCCGAGTGTCGTCGGCCGATTCGAAAAACTTGAGCCCGAGGTGCTGTGCAATGCCCAAGGCGAGCCACGCCTCCAGGACCGGGAGCCAGCTTTCACTCAAGAACGCGAATTCGTCCATCCCGATGAGGTCCAGTCGCGTGACATACTGCATCCCGCTGGCGACTGCGTCGATGAAGGCAGGATCCGGCTCCTCGACTTTCACATGCATGTGGTCGAGACCCGTGCAGAGACTCAGAAGTTTAGCGAGCTCAGCGTTGGTGTGGCAGTTCAGCACCGTTGGTATGTAGATCGACGTGATCTTGTGACCCCACTTGGCAGCCAGTGCCATCGTCGGGTTGAACGAAGAAGCATCGGTGTCAGGGTTGGCAGCTCGCAAATTGGCGTCGAGTCTGTCGCAATGCTCAATACGAATCGAGCGAAAGACTGGTAGCGCGGCGAGAACGGTCGATGTGTATTGGCGGTCAACGTGTTCAATGCAGATTTGCGGCCAGAGGCAGTCGTCCACACCATGGGACGTTGTCGTGAAGAGCGTTCGGAGCGCTGTCAATGGCGCATCCAGATTAGCAGGTGGCAGTGCGTGGAGGAGCGATGCGACGTCTTTGGACGACGACAAGCACTGAGCAATCGAGGCGAGGACTGCGGGGTGGGCGGCATCGATCGGTGCCACGCAAGGTCGCTTGCGCAGCATGGCTTGTTGTGGAAATAGAGATGTATTTTTGCATTCAGATTGGTTGCCATTTGTAACGGACGCGATTTTGATTGGAAACACGTGGCAGACCTGCAGGTGTTTAAATCCTTGATCGATTTGGTTGTGAAATCGCTCCGACACACAAGTATTCTTTGGGCCTTTATCGATGCCCACGACACACCACGACGCACAATAGAGTTCTTTTCTATCGTAGCATTATTTATCGTCGTAGTACTTGGCCGTCAACGACGTTCAGCCAACATACAATTTAGTGTCCCTAGACAAAGCGTGAAGAAATAACGCGATGAACGGCCTCCGTTTAGTTATCAAGCCAAAAGCAGAGAACTAATCACGTAATGAGCCCCCTAACAAGCAAATATTTGGGACGATAC